TTTTTTTTTTTTTCTTTTTTTCTCAACACCAAGAATGAATAGTGCTGTCTCACTGTGAAGAACTCTGGAACATTTGAGGTGGGGGAGAGAAGGGTGCTGAAAAACCAGGAGGCAGTGAATGCACCGTTTGAATGAGAATCATAAAATAACCCCCTTTGATAGAACCTGGATTTATTAACGTGGCTAGAACAGGGAGTAGGAATAGTCTGGGAAGAAAATTATGGATGGCTTTAATCTGATACCCAGGATTGGTATTGGTCTAATTCTGAACAACAGCTATAATCCCTCCAATCTCACACCTAGCCCAGATGCTCAACTTCACTTTGAAAGCATGCCGTAAACAGGGACTCTGTTGCCACAGCAACGGCAGCCCACGACATAGAGGGAAACCAAAGGTATCAATATCGGCAGATACTCCAACTAGAGAAGCCAGACTGAGATGCTGTGGACATGTGTGGAGGAGGGACAGTGGACATATTGGTAGGAGACAAAGAGGAAGGCCAAAGAGGAGATTTATGGATGCAGTGAGGGAGGACATGCAGATAGTTGGAGTCAGAGTAGAAGATGCAGAGAACAGGGAGAAATGGAAAACAATGATTCGCTGCGGCAACCCCTGATAACTGATTCTGTCATTTTTACTTCGCAGTACTACAGTGTCACCAGCTGTACTCCACTGCCTATATAGTTTATGTTTTTGTTTCATCTTGAGCGATAGAACACGGTACTTTTCCCCTTAGGTCTGCAGTGTTTGGCTCAGAGGAAGCACAAACACATCCCTCTGGTTTTTATGCCGATGAGTTTACAGGAGGAATCGCTGCCGTTCTGCAGTGACTACACGCAGACAACACCACACTGCACTGAGGCCATTTCAGTGCAGTACGTCTAATGCGTTCAGCGCTGAGAAGGAAAGACCAGTTGACTGAAATGAGCTGCAGTCACTGGAGCCCGAGGCTAGACTCCATATTCACAGCTCCGGCGTAGCCCTGGGTTGTATGGGGAGACTACACAGCTTGTCAAAAAAAATACCTCCATTTCCACATCACACTGTACACACTGTGCAAACATAAAATGGGAGTGTGATTAAATGACCATCAGTGGATTCTGTTTACTTGTTTCCATTTACAAAAAAAATCAAAAAAAAAAAAACATCATTATGTTATTGATGACAAACCATTATTTAATGAGGATTTTTCAGACCTAGACAAAGTAAGAACTTATTGGTTATAACAGGGATTCTCACTGGTGTAAGTGCCGTAAGAAATCGACAAGAAATTCGTAAGAAATGTTATCCAGTTATCTGTCAATCTGTGAAAAGTCAGCCAGCACTTGTTTGCATTAGTCCTTTAATTTTTTTTTTCTAAAAAAATGTGATAATTATATTCTTCATAAAGGGCAAAAACAGAGTTTTTACATTTTATTTGAAAAAAAAAAAACCCAACCCAAACTTTAAATCCCAAATATGTAATTGAAATATGAATGTCTGCGAAGAAGTGGTGGGAAGAATATTAATATGTTTTAAAAGAACCACTGGTGTGGAGAAATATTATTCCATATTTTTCTAGGAGGTTAATGAAAAGTACTCGGTCTTTCAGCACCGACTTTAAAGGTGTGTCTTTATCTGTAACCTGACGGTGCACATGCTCCACTGACCTGCCTGCGGTCCAGTTCGGTCATCTGTTAAAAATGTCCGGTGCGTCGTATAAAATTAAACAATTAACTGTTGACGACAAGTATTTATTAAAACACCATCAATTCTGCAGTTGAGTCTTTTCACTTTTTCTTGAAAAGTGTGACAAAAGAATGGAACAATGTAACACAGAGGTGAAGCTGACCTCAGATTTGCTTTGTTGAATTTGGCAAATTGAATTAAGTTATAAAACAAAAAAAAAACAAAAAAAAAAACACTAAAAGTTTAGTAAAAAACTGACCTTGAATTTGACTCTCTCTCACCAAGTCTCATAGACACTACATATTTATGGACTTGTTTCTGTATATGTACTTGCACCTATCTTCAATAGCTGCTTATAAATCCTGGCCAGGTTCCATTTAGCTGACCAGTAATTGTCTTCTATAAATACTTGCCCCCAGTAGATTTCTGAAACCTCTGTTGTCATCATGTTTGCCCGGTGGTCGTGATAATTACGACAGCTTTACGTTGAGTGGAGTTCACTCATGCCACACTAAGTTGTGATGAAGGTTTTAAGGGACGACAACATTTCAAAGACTTAATGTGAGTCCATTGTTGTTGCAGCAGTAAGTCAAGTGAAAAAATAAGGAACTTCTTTTTGCCCTGAAGAGCAGGAGAGAGTGGCAGCTTCAGAGAGTGGATTCTCCTCCCCTCACTTCACTAACCACTCCACTCTAAGCAGCCATGAGTCCTTGTTCTGACCGCTAACCACCCGTGGTCACGGTCACCACAGGTTAAGTGACCAATACCAATCTATCACTCAAGGCCTGGAACAGTCCTGGAAAGATAAATGTTACAAGCTACAAATTAATCTTTTGTTTGCTTTTCCTAAGACCCCAGCCTCTCCTCTCCGCCCCCAAACCTCCAACCAAATAAAAGAATTCTTCCGCTGAGCAGAGAGAGTGAGTCTTTTGACCTTTTCCAGTGGAAAAAAAACAAACACATGTCATGCAAATAGGAGCAGCCGTCTGGTTTCTCCAAATATTTGGGCCTCTTCGCTGCTCACAGCAGTCGTGTTACAGACACTAAAAGGTCAGCGGTTCAAAATGAACTCACCGCACCACCTCCCCCGGCCCCCGTATCTTTTAGTGGGAAATTAAACTAAACATGAAGCAGGAGCGCACATAGAACCAGGCTGAGGATTTTCAGCTATTACATCTGAGCTGTTTAGGCCGAGCTCTGCTCATAGAGAGAGATGGAAATATATTAATTTTTCTAGGCATTCACTCCGGGTGTCCGGAGATTTCCTATTTACGTTCGATGAGTGCGGTGGGAGATTGGGAAGGACAGGTTCACAACAGCAGGGAAATCTCCAGGGGATCCAGACCAGGGAGTGGTGTCTGGCTCGAGTAAGCAGGAAGCAGAACGTTCCCCAGTTTTCTCCCTGTGGATCCTCTGGAGCTTTTCCTGCCCTGTTCTCACATAGCTCACTCAGACATAAAGTGGATATCACACCAAGGGACATGGAGCAGAATATTCAGTTGTTTCTGCTGCCGTTTATGGAGAATCTTCAGCTTCCGGTGCCGATGTCTGAGTTTTTCATTTTTTACAAAAAAAACTCATCAGAAATATTTTTCAGGTTTTTTCACAATGAGCCGGACATGTAATTGAACATGATCCCTAAAGTTTATAAAAAATCTTGAGCTCCCAAGTGCTTGCTGATATCAGCTTGTATTTTTGTCATTTGTATAATGTGGTTGTTTGAACCTTAGATCAGGGTTTAGTTCATATCTTTGACAATATCATTTTTTAAATGGTTTCATAAAAGTTGCTTCATTTCAAATCTGTGCTGAAAACTTCTTTGAATTCATTTTTCTTTTGTAAATTACAGTAAAATGTTGTTTAGGTTGTTTCCTCACAAAGGGTCAAAAATGTAATTGAATACGATCCCTAAGGACTCCAAAATATTTCTCTCAGGTTTTAGTTGACAGTTCAACCTTTTGTTTTGTATTTTGTATTTTATGGTAATTTTAGTCCAACTTTAATGTTTTTTTAAGATTTTTGTCTTAAACAATTGTTTTTTGTTTTTATATCACAGGAAAATGTCATTCATGATGTTTCCCCACAGAGGGTCACAAGTGTAATTGAACACGGCTGTTTTGTTTCCATTTTTTTTAAATATATATATACAATCTATAACTTGTGCGTTTCTAATAGAAGCTTGTTTTTTTTTTTGTTTTTTTGGCATTTTAGTTTAAGCCCCATTTTGATGTCTAAAGTTTTTGTTTTAAATTGTAAAAAAATATATTACAATGATTTACTTTTGTTTTCAGAAAAGGCATATCCTCAAAGGGAGCTAAAAGTAAAATTTGGAGATCTAAATAACAGAAAAATTGTCATTCAGGATTTGTCACCACATGGGCTGAGAAGTGTAATTGAACACGACCCCTAAAGTTTTTAATTCAGTTTTCCTCTCACTAAAATGCCCAGACACAGTTCAGCAATTTGAGGTGGTCACATTCTTCATGTTTTTCTATCCCCGCCTGGTAGCAGTGAAAAAAAAAAATTTCAGAGGATAAAGTCCCTGTGGAACTGAGGTAAAAAAAATAAATAAATAAAATAAAAAAAATCCAGACCTCTCATGAAAATGATGCTGCCCTAGTAGGGGTAAATCTGGGTGCATTACTGGGGATGGTTACAGCTGGAGATAAGGCAACGGCTGCTCATGAAAAAGTGGGACGTCTGGATTCAAGCTGAAACTTCTCCCTCTCCATTTTTATACTTCATACTCACCAATGTGGTGAGAGCTCCACTGGCAGCTGAGATAAGCCTGAGTTGGACCTCTCTCATGAATACAGAACTGACAGCACCTTCACTTTATTTATTCAGTGCTGCTCAACTGAAGATCACTTCTTCACTTGAAGCCACAAATACTCTTTCCACTATTTTGCTTTAAGAACATCACATACGCAGGTACTAACCCCCCCCCTCCCCACTTTACCGCACCCCCCCATAAAGCTTCAAGCGTATGGAACTTAATCTAACTCGTATTTCTCCTTCCTTGTACCCACCTGCAGGAGAGGAGGCACTGACGATGTACCTGGCCAAGAACAAGTTAGACAGGAAGCTTGCCAACACCACTCAGAATGTGGAAGCCCTTCATCAGCTGGCCTCGTCTTACTTTATCGACCGTGACGGCACAATGAGGAAGCTGCACGAGATCCAGATCTCCACTAATGCCATCAAGGTCAGTGCGCTTTCAACACATGTATATAAAGAGGTTTGCTTTCACAGCGGCGGTGGTGAGCAGGTGAGTAAAACAAGCAGAGCCGACAGGAGCGGTCGTTACGGAGGTGAATTAACGTAAAGACCGTTTACGTTAGGTGTGATCTGAGGTTGTTGAGGCCTCACCCATCCGTACGGGAGGCAGCCACTCTCTCTTATTTGTTAAAAGAAAGAAAAAAAAGAAGAATTCCAGTGTCTGTTTAAAGAACTGTTTCTGCTAGGACAACATACACAGTGTTCCCAAACAAACAAGTATGTTTTGACAGAAAACAATGTAAGTGTGCAGTCTCTCACGCAGTAACAGGTGGTTTATACACAAGTAAATATACAGTGCAGAAAATGTTGGGGTTTTTTTCAATACGAGTACAATTTTTTTTCTCACAAAACTGAATAAAAATTAGAATAAAATAAATATAATACACATAGAAAAACCTTAAAAAGAACTACATGTGCTTTACATTTGTGCATTGGGGTTTTTATGGAAATACTCGTTTCCTGTTTGTGCAGAAGGGGGTAAAATGTTGTATTGTAGGGATGTTTTTTTTCACATAAAAAGACTTGCTCCTTAGGTATGGTATGGTATGGTAGACTAGGGTCTGGTATGGTACGGTATGGTATGGTTTTGTATGGTATGGAATGGAATGGTAGGGTAGAGTATGGTTTGGTATGGTACGGTATAGATTGATTTTGTATGGTATGATACAGTACGGTCTGGTATGGTATGATATGAAACAGTAAAGTAGATACATCTTCTTTCAAATGTTATTTCAGTTTTAGAGTAACAAAAAAAAGAAAGAAATAAGAAGGAAAGAGATCAAAACACGTCCCAAAGCTTCAGTGATTTTAACAGGTGTCCTTTCAAGTTTGATTAAACATCGAAAGTTGGCTCTGATTTTAGAGATTTAATGATGAAACTGTTGAAGCTGTGGGAGAGATGAGTCCTGGTATCTGTTCTCTCCACTGTGTTTGCTTTAGCTCCACAAATGTATGGTGTGAAATTACGTACCGTTGGATCAGGAAATGGATAAAACACCCAACAGCCTGACTGTTCAGCTGGGATACGTTGTAGTGCAGCTACAAACATGAATAAAATTAATTACATTTCATTGACCTCACTGACAATAATAATAAATATTCTGTTTCCAAGAATTGGCTTTTTTACGTGAAATAACTTTTTTATGTGCACATTTTAAGGTTTTATATGTTGTTGTATTAGTATTATAATTATAAATATTAATCCAGTATCCATAGTCATTTTCACAATATTAGGCAGAAATAAAGAAATAAATCCAATGCTAACTCTGGCACTAGCAGCATTTTGATTCTGAGTGTGTATTATAACAAATAAATATTTCCATTGGAGCTGAGGCCCAGGGCAACATCTGTCGTCTGCTGTGACCTTGCTCATATACGCATCGTTAACAAGGCAACACACGCGTCACAACTGAAACAATACAGTCGGAGTAAACCTGAGAGTACAACGTGGTGCGGGGATGTCAGTTTGATTTCTGTGTGTGCAGTTCGGCAGCAGGGACGGCTGCTCTCTATTATGCTACTGGTGGAGCCGCCGGAACCCAGGGGACTGGGGGGGGGGA